CTGAGAAGTAACAAAAATAAATACAGATAAAACCACTGGAGGGAACTTTTCCATTCATTACTCTTTAAGTTTTTCCCATTTTAAGTGTAGCATCCTACACTTAAAATGACATAAGTACAATGAACCAAACAGTGTGGTGTTTTTCCCCCTCCTGGCACCACCAATCTAGAGTCCAACCTCTTTCCTCTCTGCGATGATTCCCCACAATCTAATTTGAGTGACAGTTCAGGCCGAGGTTGTAAAATGAGCTCAGCTGGTGTTTACACCTCTTCTTCATTCAACAGCATGTTGGGGATTCCTTTGGAGATGGGGAACTCTCGTCCTGACTCTGGACACTGAAGACAACCTTCGATCACCTCCACCTGAAGAATTAAAAAGTATGTTTGTATAAAATATACATACAAATTGAAATTATTTTAAATCTGACTTCCTGCATACAGAAAAACATTATCTATGGTCAGAAAAGAGGAGCTAAACACAAAAAGGAAATATTTAATAACAACTAAATGTAATTTTACTGTATTTTTTATTTTATTTCATTTTATTTTTGAATTCCATAAAATCAACTACATTAGTTTCGTCAAGTGGTCCATTTGTACGTATGTATCTTTGTGTCTTCCACGGTGACTGATGTTTTTCTTTTTCTGTGATCACAACAGATGAAACGTCTCAATACGCCGGTGATCAACAGGTGGCAGTGTTGAGTAAGTAAGTGGCGTGAGAAGGTCTTAAAAGACCATGATGATATTTTGTGTACATCGACTAAACAGTGCTAACCCAGTTAGTAAGTTAATTTCAGAAAGTATTATTTGTCAATAAAATCACACTGTGGTTGTGGTTATTCGAAATGGCTGAGTGAACGAGTGCTTTTACCTCAAGCATCGCTCTGTGCACTTTCTTCAGAAAATCCTCATTATTCTCATAGTCCGCCACCAGCTCAGAAGGGAGGTCTTGACGATGACCGAGCTGACGAGAACAAACAACAACAAACAAACAGGAATTCAGTATAACAAAGACCACTGAATCAAAATAATAATGACTGGACACCAAATGTGGACCGACCAACCAACACCAACAAATAAAGCGTTTCATTGACCGGGTTAACGTGGGTTATACTGTAAATCACATTTAAAAGAATTGCATTTCCGACACATATATTTATGTGATGTCATGTATGTCTTTTATCTCTTTGTATCTTTAGTGAAAATGCAGTTTTAGATGAACCCACCTCCTCTGCAGCCTGGACAAGAGCACTCCACTCCAGTTTGGGAATCATCCTGCTCACAAAGGTAGGGTTGAACTCTACCTCATTCACTTTTACCTCGATTGCCTTCAAACAGAAACACATCAGATGCTAACAGTTAGTACAGCATTAACATACACGCCTTATGGTTTGAAACAGTCAACAGAAGCGCCAGAGAGTGGCGTTAGCAGTGATGCTAACTGGTGTCAACAGTTTACCTTAATAAGCAGCGGGTATCCTTTAGTGACTCCCTTTACATGAGATGTCAACATGTTGTGTGTGAGCAGCTTCATATTTACGATTTATTATCCTAACAGCTGTAATGTTAGGATAAAATCTCGCTTTGTCTTTAACTTTTACTTAATCACGCTACAGCGTTTACATGTGCACCGGAAATGCCGAGTGTGCGTCACAGAATGAGCTCCTCCGGGTTTTTTGCGCGAGAAACATTGGTTCTTAGACTACAGACGTAACTAACTATTTAACTTACTGAGTTTATTAGGGACTTAATTCAACATCAGGTAATTCAGAACATTTCTGTGAAAATTCGTTTTTGAACACCTTTTTCAGATGTATATTTCAATGCTTTAACATTTTTATAAGAATAAGAACAACTGTTGAGATTTTGCTGTTAACCAAGTCCTTGTCAAGTATTTACAGAAGAAACATTTATTCCCCAAATATTTATTTAAATTTAAATTCCACTGTGCTCAAGTGAAACTATTGATATGTACTGGTTATCTTGTGAGAATACTATGGACTAATAGTCAGCGTCTCCTGTAGAAATTAGATAGATAGATAGATCGATATTTCCCTTTGGAAAATTAAGGAATTACAGTAAACTGTTGAAATGACTAATTCTAGTTGTTTGTTAAAACAATTACAGCGATATCAAAAGTGATCAATACATTAATTATTGCTGTTTCTTATACTGTTACTGTTTGTAAGTATAATTTATAGTTTTGTATAAAAAAACTATGTAATTGAATGGACAGGATGGTAGAAAATCCAATGCTTAATAGGCTAAATGGTAAAATGTTCAATAACACAATATAAAAAAATATACTCAGGAAAGTTGATTTTAGGAATCAGTTTTAAAAATGGGCCAATGTTCTGTTTTTGTACTCAAAAGTTTTATTTTTGTATTAATTTTGAATAGTCATTGTCTTTATACAGGTCATTCATACTGTTGACGATATACAGTAGTAAATAGTAATTACACACATTAGGTGTAGCAAGCATAAACCTGCCACCATCACAGACATGCATCGTGCGCACAATTAAACACATGCGCACACATACACACACTCGCACATACAAACATCCTTTACACTAAATAAAACAACAAAAAAGATAAACTGTAAAACCTTTTTAAAATCACAAAACCCTCATTCTTCCTTACTTTTTCCTTTAAACACCTTTTTAAAATGCGTTTGACAATACTTATGTTATTACAAGGTAAAAAAAAACTAAGATAAACAACAACAACAAAATGCTGGAAGGCATCGAAGGAAGGGCAGAGCGATTCTGACGACAGGTGAAAAGACTAATCTGGTTTGAGTGGCAATGCAGACAGAAGAGCCATCGCTGGGTCTTCATGTGATCTTTGATCATATTCAGTCAGGTGTGAATCAACGTGAATGTGAGGGCATATACAGTATGTAATAAGAGGGCAGATTATTTTGGAGGGCAACACAAATAGATGAAGACACTCTGCATTGTTTATGGCACAACTTACAGCAGTGAGATAAGTAGGTGCTTAGACCACTGAACTGGACATGTGGTGATTTTTAATAGTGTTTTAAAATCTTTTGTCTTTGTCTGGCCTACAATTGATTTATAGGTTCTAATCTGTCAAGATAAGCAGATGTCTCAACAAGGGGTAGAATAATTGGTAGCATAAGCAGATGTCTCAACAAGGGGTAGAATTGGTAGCAAATAAAATAGTCATCCCAGAATTAGGGGACCAGGAATCAGTCAGTAAGGTGGTCAAAGCTATGTTTTCACAGAAAATTTGAAAAGTAGTACTGAGGGGAAAATGTTGGGGTTTTGTTGAATGCAGAAGTGTTCAAACTGACTCTCCTATAATTAAATACTGTGTTAGTAACTGCCGCAGTTATTAGTCGTAGCTTTGTTTTTGCTCTGGAGCGCAGACTCTAATTGGATCCTACACACATGCAAGTACACATTTAAACCTTGGATTCACTCCCTTCCTCCACACTTTAATCTCAACAGTATGTCTCACACTCAGTGATTCTCATACGTTCACATCCATTCTCCATCACACTGACACAGAAAAAACCATTATTCTTCACCCTCCTCCGTCCGCCACTTCAAGAAATCCTCTTTCCTGGCGTCTGGTTTGATCTGGTTTCTCATGCCACCGAGCAGATTGGAGGTGGCCTCAGAAGCCACTATCAGAGGGCGAACTACAGTGGGAGGGATCTGCCGCAGGACACCGCCCACAGCACCAGGCAGACCCTTTTGCTCGTGGCCACGGGATGCTACATCACACAGCGTCTGGGCCGCGTCAAACATTCCCTAGAAGAGCAGAGAGGTTAGAAGTCTGGGTATGAACTTACTTTTGAGTGAGTGGAATGAATTATAAAAGCACACTACTACTCCAAAAGTTTGAGATACATTCGAGACAAAAAGTGTATGAATGCACCTCTCTGACGGTGTCGTAGGCTTTGGCGACACCTTCTCGGAGGTCTGCGGGCTGGGCAGCTCTACGGGGTCGGCTGGTAAGAGTCCGGCCTTCAGTGATGGCATAACGAGTCAGAGGAGGTGTTGGGGAGAGGATATCATACACAGTCTCTGCTGTTGCCTTTAAACAAGGACAAAAATGGAAAAACAAGATTATCGAAATTCATCACCCTGTCAATGTTTCACCGTCTGCAGTCCCAAAATCCAAATCTTGTCTACCTGAATGGCCTGCACCAGCCTGTTGCTGAGCTCCAGAGCAGCTGAGGCAGTTGAGGTGCCGAAGGACGCTGCCCCCCTTTGGAGACCTCGGATAATGCGTCCATCCTTCCTGTACTGCTCTATGGGCAGCCAGAACAGATCCCTCACTCCGTGGACTGTAGAAAAACATACGAGATAAATGAGAAAATAACAAAAATACAAGAGTGTATATGTTGAGCTGACAGCATGTTTGGTGCTGCAGTATAAACTTACATAGTTGGACAACTGAGTGCATGGGGCCAACACCTCCCAGAATGCCTGGCAGCTGATTCTTCCTGATGTCAGTCAGCCACTCTGTGACAGCATACTGAATCACTTTGTCCACACCGAGAAGACTAGAAGAAGTTACAGAAGATTTAAATTCCTTCTGATTTGGATTTCAGAAATGATATAACACACAGAAGTTTATAAAGAGAGGGGATGATGTGTTTTACCCGTGTCTGCAGCAGAGCCTCTTCAGCTTCAGCTCAGAACAGTTCAACTGAGCCAGGCCAATCAGAATCCCTGCAAACGTTCCCTGTCAAACAAGAAGCACAGATCATGAAGAACAGGCACAAACATCACCTCATCATCTACAAAGTTCTTTGTAATCGGCCTTCAGTCATGCTTGGTTATGATAAACTGCATTACCTGTTCAATGACCACATGTTTGCCATGATAATCCAGCCATATCGGCACTTCAGAGGTGAAACGAAACTCCCTGCACAGAGAGAGGACATTTATACCTTAATAAACCAAATCCCAAATCCCACTCCTTTTTAAGCCTGGTAGATTATTGTCAACAAACCGGAAATAGATTGGCTGATCGGACGAGGAGGAGGAGCCAGCAGAAGATGAGCTTTGTTCACTGTTGGTGGTTTCAACAGAAGCTGTGAGGTCAGGCCCCAGACCAGCAGCTGCGTCCATGTCTTCAGCAGCTCTCTGAGAGGAATCTGCTTTCACTACAAGTCAATATCAAGAATTTATATTATAATATATATTCATATAAATATATATTCATATAAAATATGCAGGACATCTGACATTGTAGATTTGAAGACAGAGCTCACCTTCAGTTGCAGGATCCACTGGCAGGTAAGGGTTGACGAAGGAGGCTAAATTACTGAAATAGTCCTTGAGGAAGAAAAGTGCATCCTGGGTGGAAACAAGAACAAAAGAAAATGCTTTTTAAACAAAAATACTCACTGAAGTGTCCCCACTGAGAAACGTAGGTTTCGTTCACTCAGAGACTGGACTCAGATCCAACTGCAGGTGCTGGAGTTACCTGGTCTATATTCAGACGCAGTGGCAGCAAACTGACCCGGAGACAACACTCTGGACCACCCAGACCTGACTCTGGACACACCTGAAGGGCTTTCACTGACAGCTGGGAGAAAACAAACAACAAAGTGACATAAATGTGTTGTGCAAAAGTTTTAGGACTTTTTCTTCATCAAATGTTTTCAACACATGGACCAGGACTGTTTGGAGACATTGTATCAACAAACTGAAGATTCTATTTAAATATGTTTTTTGGAAGCATCTCTGAAAGCTGCCATGGTGGCCAGAAGACAACTCTGGGGTTTAAAAGGTTAAGCTCCAAGTCGTAGGATTCTCTCTCATCCTCACCATATTGGAGTGGGCCCGACGGGGCATGCTCTCACTGGTGTAGAGGTAGAGGAATTTGTTGATTTGCGAGGAGGCCAGACGGTCTCGAACTTCAAGCTCCTGGACGATGAACACCTGCCTTGAGATGGGCTGTTCATTACCTGGTCCAACTCCGACCACAGGGACTGCTGCCCCCTCTCCATCCTGCCCTGCTTGTATCACAGAGTAGGATTCATGCTGGAAAGACACCTGGATGAACAAATTACAGAAATGAAGAAATTGGCTGAGCTTTGATGAGCGATAAACAACATCCATATCATTTTAACTTCAGAATTACATGCAAAAGATTTCTAACTGTACCTTGGTGAGCTGTATCTCCATCAACATGGTGTGCTGACGGCCACTCCCACCTGCCCACCTCCAGGAGTTCTGGGGACGAGAGGAAGCCACAGCCCGAGACGGAGAACCACGAATGCCAGCTGGGACTGACCGGCCTCTACGAGGCGACCAAAACAGAAAGATAAATATTTTCTTCGTTACCCATTCTGCTCAAGTGTGAGCTTTTTCTACTTGTTGCGCTTTGTGTTACCTGTTTGCCTGTTGCGCATGTATAGACATGGATTTGCCACCAAAGTCTTTTCCACCATACAGATGCCAGACCACAGAGATCTCCCGCAGAATCACCCTGCTCTGGGGCACAGGGAAGCGGCTGGGGGCTCGGAGCAGGTCTGAGCTGCCACGAGGCCTGGAGAAGTGACTGTCTTTCACCTTGATGGGCACCTGGGACAGCACGGTGACCACGGGCTCCCCGTCCTTGGGCTGTAAATAATACCGCATTTAAAAACATTTCTTCTAAAACTATATAAATAAATATTGTTATGAAGACTCATGAGAAACACATGATGACAACGAGAGCTGGTATAGACTCACAGGAAGGCCCCTCCCCAGAGACT